GCCCCCGGCCACGCCCCCCGTGGCAGAGGAGCAGCCCCCGCAGCCGGTCGCTGTGCCGCCCTACCCTTTGCCCTACAGCCCGTCCCCCAACCTGCCCACAGGCCCCACAGCGCAGGGAGCCCTGCGGCCAGCCCCGTTCCCCGTGGTGGCCCAGCCCTCCTCCTACGGCGGGCCTCTGGGTCCCCCTTATCCGTCAGCCCAGCCGGGACCCAGGACTAGTGCAGGCTTCTCCTGGTCCCCACAGAGGAGCCTACCGCCTAGGCCTGGCTATCCCGTGGCCCCGACGAGCGCCTCTGGGCCTGGGTACCCCCTGGGGGGCCGGGCCTCCAGTCCTGGTTATCCCCAGCAATCCCCTTACCTCTCACCAGGAGCAAAGCCTCCCTACCCAACGCAGCCCCAGCTCCCAGGCTTCCCAGGACCTCCTCAGCCCTCGCTGCCCCCTCAGCCTCCATATCCTCCCGGACCCGCACCCCCCTATGGCTTCCCACCACCCCCGGGGCCTGCCTGGCCTGGGTATTAGCCCTGGTCCTGGCCCCTCCACATCCCGCCTGTGTCACAGCCTCTGGCCCACCATCGCCGAGATTCGAGGTCCCACTGGAAGTGGCGTCCGTGCTCCCGGTGGACTGGGTAGGCGCACGGAGGCCTCAGAGCACCCGTCTGGGAGCATGCAGGCTCTGAAAGGCACCGGGCAGTGTGACCGGCCGGCTGTGGCAGACGATCTGGCTGGCCTTTGTCCTGGGAGCTCCACCGCTCTGAGACTCTGATTGTTACTCTTCCTGCGCTCGGTTCTCTGGTGACTGTGTGAGCGTGTGCAGGTCACATCTACTTGTGCCTGCTCCCAAGGACGTCTGACCCCAGTGCACCGTGCACTTGGTGACAAAGTGGCCCTGGGTCTCTGGCCCCGCCTACCCCCACCTCTGCCTGGGGGTTTGGCATACTGGATGTGGAGCCCGTGCCGCGTGCTGCAACGCCTCGTGTCTGTCCTGTTGGGCAGCGTGCCCCGGAACCCTAGCTAGGACTGGGTGGAAGGGCGCAGGGGAGCAACTTGTCTTGAAGTCCTATAAAGCCATAACTAACTGTGATCGGCCGGCAGACAGGTGTGTCCTGTGAACTAGTTTGAGTGACAGCGACACCAGTTCAGTGAGAGGGCTGGGGAGGGTGAAGGTTGACACCCAGGAATCCAGGGGTCACCTCCCAGCCACCTCTGTCCTCTGCCCTCCACTTCTGGTTGGCTTTTTCCAGCGGCTCAGCCGTCCATCCACTCCTTTAGTGCCTTGAATCTCATCTGCAAGCAGCCCCCTGTGCCCTTTACCCCTCACAGAATTCCCCCGTAACCCCAATGTCCCTGCAAGACGGACGTCACGAGACGCCCTCGGGGTGACTTCCCACCTGGTGCTTTCCAAACACCATCACTGCGGGGGGGGTGTGTGTGTGGGGGGGAGGGGTTGGTGTCTCTGTACCTCGTCGTCATCGTCGTCTGGATGTGAAGGACAGGGACTGAGACTGTGTGTCCGGCAGCCCCAGCACCCTGGGGGCCGCAGCATGGTCAGCAATAAATATGGCCTCATGGACCAGAGGGGCTGCGAAGGATGAGGCGTTCACTGGGTTGTTCCCAAGCGAACCGGGTCTCCGGCAGACCACAGAGCTGCTACAGATTAGGAAGTCGTATGTGCCTTGAAACGGCCATCGCCCGAGGACCCAGCCTCTGGTGGGCCTGGGGCTGCTGGGGCCAAGGAGGAACCCGACCTCCCGGTGCCTGCCCCTGCTGGCCGGCTCGCCGGGCGGTGTGCATGATGCTAGCCGAGCGCTGCCCGCTCCTCACCAACTGTGCTTGCTTCTACGTTATTTATAAAAAACTCGCTCCTGGAGTCTGTGTGCGAGTGCTTTTGAAGCGGATGGACGAGTGCTCGCCTGTATGTTTGTGTATAATTGCCGTAATAAACTTGGATGAGTTACACGTCACGTTGTGGCTCCAGTGGTTTGCTAGTAGGAAGCCCTGAATCACACTCTACGCTTCCTGTCTGCAGGGCACCTTCTCCCTGGATGGCCTGAGCGCCCACCTCCCCTGCTCCTTTGCTCCCGTCTTGTTCCTCTCCTGCCCCTTGGTGTTCTTTCTTAGCTGTTTTCTTGCTGGAGCCTTGTCCGGACCAGTGCAGTGGCATGCAGAACCGCCAGGGGGCACCCGGGCTTCAGCTCAGCCTCCGTGGCGCTGCTGCTGCTGCTGCCTGCCATCTGTTAGGCTGGCAGGACCATCTGCTTCTCAGCCCGGCTGTGGGCCATCCGGTTTGTAAACTGGATATGGGACAGCATGTTTCCAGTGCCGCTGAGCTGAGCTGAGGATCACCTGCCTGCCTCAGGACCAATGGCAGCGAGAGAAGCTGGAGATGAGCTTTCTCTCCCTCTCTCTCTCCCTCCCTCCCTCTCCTTTCCTCTCCCTCCTTTTTCTTATACTAGGATTTGAACTCAGCACCCAGGCTCTGTCCCTTAGCCTTTTAGTTCAAGACTGGCACTCGACCGCTGCAGCCATATGTCTTCTTCCAGCCTTTGGGCTTTGGCTTATTGGAAATAAAAGTCACATAGATTTTATTAACTGTGTTGGCTTCGAACCAGGATCCTCAGATCTCAGCCTTCTGAGTAGGACTACAGGCATGAGCCACTGGCACCTGGCTGAGGTAGGTATGCTCATAGTCCCTTCTGTTGGTCCTCGTGTGTGTCCTTCCTGGGTCAGGCTTCCAGGGATGCTTTGAGTCCCCAGTATGACTTACTCAGCAGGGCCACATCTCCTGAGTCCTGCTAAGCTGCTACAGTCCCAGTTCTAATTGCGGGCCAGCTGTGTAGCCTGGCGGTGGAGGTAGTCTCTGCCTCCGTGGCACTGATGTCTCCTAGGACCTGAAAGTGGCCCTGGCTCCAGTCCAGCATTGTTGCCCTTTGCTCTGCCCTCTGTCCTTGCTGCGCACGAGTCTGTGGCTGAGGACACAGGACCTACCGCAGGGAGAGCCAGAGGACAACTCGGAGACATGTGCAGAATCACTGGCGGCACAGTCCAGTTGGCCCTGTCCTGGGTTGGGGCCAGCGTGGTGGCAGGGGCACCAATGGGCCTGCTTCCTGAGGAATGTGAACTGTGTCTGTGTGCTGCGCCCCACTGCCCCGTCCCCTCCTCCCAGCCGCACACCTGAGATAGAGCACTTGCCTGGTCCCAGGTGCCCTCCGGGCCTCTTGCCCCTGCAGCCACCAGTGCCCTTTGCCAGGTGGCAGCAGGCCTTGTGGGGTGGAGTGGGCTGTATGGGGACAGGCACCCTGTGTCCAGTTTGGAACCTGGAAGAGATCCGTAGCTTAGCAAGCACTCTCATCCTCCATCTTGAATCCCCACTTCCTGGGCACCCAGTAACTTTGAAGGTGTATCCAGGAGCATTCCTGACAGGTTCTTGGCTTCCTGGATAGCCTGAGGAGAATGCTAGACACGAGAACTGGCACACGTGCCATTCGTGGAGGAGAGGGGGTGGGTGGGTGAATGCAGTCAGATTATTCACTGCCCAGGCGAGAATGGAGCCAGGTAAACCAGGTCACTAGAGGGGATGAGCCGCGCTTGGGAGAGATGGAGGAAGACGAAAAACGTGACAATGGTCGGGATGCTTTGCACTCACAAACGGACACCTTGAATCCCCCTTGCACAACTTCTTAAAGAGAAACATCCAGTACCATTTAGGGAAGGGGCAGGGACAGCCCTTGTTCTCTAGCAGGTGCTGGTGCAAGGGTGCCCAGGAGGGGTCCCCAGGGTGTACTCCATAGCTGAGCGGGACCTGCCACTCCCCCAGCCCCGGCCGAGGCCTGCGGGGTGGGTCTGGTCCCTGAAGATGGAAAGTAGACAAAGGTTTGAAGGCTGGCAACAGTTCCCGTTCAGTTGTGTAACTGAGCAGGGATTGTTGGATGAGTCACCCAGCCCACAGCACTTAGAGGCAGTGTTCCAGAGACTTCTCAGCTTCGCTCTTGGGTTTTGGGTTGTCTTTTAAGTAGGCCATGGTGGCTTCGATGCCACGGTATGGTGGCTGGACTAGCAAGAACTTAGCAGGGGAGGCCCTGGTGGGAGACACAGGTGCCTCTGAACCTTCTCCCTAGAGCAGCCTTGTGGTGGTGTCTTTTTGGGGTGTCCCTTCATCCTGTCAGTCATGGGAAGCTGCATGGCTGCTCTGTCTGGAATCCCAGCATAGCCAGGGGCAGGTTGGAGACCTGGGCCCTACACCCTGGGCTGTCGGAAGTGAGGCCCAGTGGAGGGTCTGGAGGCCCAAGTCCTTGCTTCTGATTCACCTCCCCCGAGCTCCTCCCCACCCCAGTGCTCCATTGTCTCTGCACTCCCCTCTGCTCTTCTAGAACTGTCTGCTGTGGCTTGAACTGTGCTCCCAGTATGGAAAGAGGCTCCACCCCTCCACCTGTCACCCACTGATGCCTGATGGCTTAGTGACCAAGCAAAGCTATCCCTGTATTGTTAGATCTGGGGCTCCTGCTTAGAATCCCTTCTCTCAGCCATAGGGAAACTGAGGCATGAGTGGGGTTTGCTACATCTCTGATCTCTGAGTAGTAGAGGAGACTATTTTAGTGGAGGAAATGACTGGAACCTAAGGGACACACCCATCCCCATTCTCTGTTGACTCTGATTGGCTACAACCACCTTAGCTTGGTGCCTCGAGGTGCCTTAACATAAGCTAGCAATTGCTGGGTACCTAGGGCTCACACACAACCGCACCAGCCAGCAGGCCCTGCGGTCTAGAGAGAAAGGCATCTTTGCGTGATGTGAGAGTCCTGACTGGCTCTTCTCCCTGTGTGCACCTTTTGGTGTGCAGCCCTTTAACCAGGAAGGCAGCACAGCCTGGTAGACCCCCAGAGGGGCCCATGGGAGTGATCCCCTAGGCAGAAGAAGCCAGAGTACACAAGTTCTCAAGAAGTTGAAAAATCATTATTTACAAAGAACACATTAAAAATACATAAGAGAAATCCATGCACTTCCTCAAAGGCATATCTCTGTGCAGATGGGAAGGGCCTGGAGCTTAGGAAAAGGGGACCCCCTCTGGCACCCTGATCTCTGCTTGGGAGGGCAGGTTACATCTGGGCTCTACTCTCTTGTAAACTCCATTGTTGGGGTGGGGGTAGGGCTTGTGCAGCTGCTGTGGTTGGAAGGACAGGGCCGTGGGAGCTGGGCACCACTGCAGGGCACAGGATGTGTGGCAGGGCGTGGTCTCTGTGTCCAGGTTCTGGCCGGGGGTAGGAATGGGATGTCGCTTTCAAATGGTGAAAGCAGAGTGTCCTCAGGACAGCTGAGGGTGGCTCTGGGTCTTTTGTTTGGTTCCCAGTCCTGTGAAGTGAAGGGACCTGTCAGAGGAGATGCTGTCACTCAGAGGTGACCTGGGAGGAGAGGAAGGGCTGGTGCCCCGTGCTTAGCTTGGGAACAGCAGTTCCGGGGCCTGTCTCCCTGCTTGGAAGCTCTGAAGAGGTTCAATTCTGTCCCAGACCCTTAGGAATCTTTTCAAAAGAGCTTTGTGGACAAGATGGCTTTAAGATCCATGATCCGGGCATGTGGCTCATGCCTGTAATCCCAGCTACTCAAGAGGTTGAGCTCTGAGGGTTGCTGTTCAAAGCCAGCCCAGGCAGGAAATGCTTGAGACTCTTCAATTCACTACCAAAAAGCCAGAAGTGGAACTGTGGCTCTAGTGGTAGAGTGTTATCCTTGAGCACAAAAGCTTAAGGACAGTACCCAAGGCCCTGAGTTCAAGCCCCAGAACCGACATTTCCCCCCCCCTCCAAAAAATGAGCAAAAAGATCCATGATCCTCTGCGAGTTGTCTAATGGTCTCCCTTGTCAAAACTGCCAGTGCATTTTCTTCCCCTTTATGAGAATCATGCTTGGGGCCGTACTTGTATATGGATGAGTGGCATCACCAGACGGGGTGGGAGTCCCAGGTGCCAAGGAGCGGGGAGGGTGGGGGGCGGGGAACAAGCTCACCTTTCACAGCCTCTGAGCTGTGTGAAGATCATAGTCACTGTCGGAGGAGTTGTCGGGCTGGGCCGAGGCACGCTGCAGGGCCCCTTCCAGAGCTGGAGGGGTGGAGGGGAGAGCGAGGTTTATACTGAGGACTCCTCAGAGCCTGGTGGCTTGGGAGATCACAGGTACTTTTTGAGCTGCTGACACACTAGATGGGTTTTGATCAACTCAGCCAAGCATTCACTAATGATGCGAGGCTCCAGCTGCCCTGGGGCTTCATTGTTTGAGCCAGCAATGGGAGCCTTGGGTCGGCCCCTTAGTGGCTCTGCTCCGGCCTCATTTACCATCCAGCCCCTTAAAGCCCTGCAGAGAAGCAGGCCCCTTAGATCCCAGCAAGGCCGGGGCTTAATGGCATCCATCCAAGTGCCTTCTTCTCTTGAGAAGGGCAGGATGAGTGGTTCAAGGTCTCAGCAGAGCCTCTGATGCTTGCGAAGCTGAATGCCTTCCACAGCCCTGCTGTGAAAGGTGTGTGCTGTCAAGTGGGCAGTTTGATCCTCTGCACCGCCAAAACATGCCGAGCCTCAGCAGGGCTGTGTCCTCGCCCCTGCCCCACCCCGACCCCGGGCCACTCACCTGGATAACTGGACAGGTGGGAGTTCCTGGGAGGCTGGCTGTATTCGTTGTCCACATGGGAGGCAGCTGGGTTCTCAACCTGGGACCGCACGGTGTGGTTGCGATGGAAAGACACTGAGCAGATGTGGGGACAGCGGCATGGTTAAACTTCCTGTGCTGTCCTCTGCTTCAGTCCCCAACAGGCCCAGGGTCTTTCTGTTTCCAGGGGAAGGGGCAGAGGTACCCACAGCCTTTACAGTACATCTCTCTGGGGTGGTGAGTGTTTGTGCTAACGAGGCCAAGTGCAGACTCGGAGAGCAGCCTGATACTGGCCAGTAGTAATCTGATTGGTATGGCCGTCAGTCAGTCAGTCATCAAGCATTTTCTCAGTAGTGATTGAGAGATGTACTCCCAGGAGCTGAGGGTTGTCATCCTCCCTCCTCTTCCTCCTCCTCCTCCTGCTCCTGCTCCTGCTCCTGCTCCTGCTCCTGCTCCTGCTCCTCCTCCTCCTCCTGCTCCTCCTGCTCCTCCTCCTCATTGTCATCATAATTTATTTTTGTGCTAGTGCTGGTTCTTGAACTCATGGCCTGGGTGCTGTCCTTTAGCTTTTTCACTCAAGACTAGCGCTCTACCACTTAAGCCACAGCTTCACTTCTGGCTCTTTTTTGGTGGTTAATTAGAGATAGGAATCTCATAGGCTTTCCTGCTTGGCTTGGAGCCATCATTCTCAGATCTCAGATCTCTCCTGAGTAGGAGAGATGGTAGGATCACTCTTAGCTACTCAGGAAACTGAGATCTGAGAATCACAATTCAAAGCTAGCCCAAGGCAGAACTCGGATCTCCAGCTAATGAGCAAACAGCTGGGAGTGGAGCTGTGGCTCAAGTGATAGAACCTCAGCTTTGATTGAAAAGCTCAAGGACAGTGCCTAGGCCTTGAGTTCAAGCTCTAGTTAGTATCAGCATAAAAGAAAACAGTAAAAAAAATACAATTATTCTATGATAAAATCAGTTTGGACAATCTTTCTTCAACACCTCCTTGCCTCGGAGATGAATGATGGAAAAAAAATGCCCATGAATAAGGATTTTTGCTAAGTCCTGAAACAGAGACTTGAGTTGAACCTTGCTTAGTTCATGGTTTCCCAGGTCTGTTTGCTTCTGTGGTCTGTTGGATCTGTTGGCCCCTGAGTTAGGCAATTCACAGGAAGGGAAGGCTGGTGATGGATCTCTGCTTAAGTCAACTACAGAGACTGGGCAGGTGACACAGGGGATATCAGGGTGTCTGAGGCTTCAGAGGCAAAAACCACTCATCTGTCTGCCCCATTTAAAAGCCTTGGCCCTCCCCAGCATGGAGACAGCGGTCAGCCACAATCACACCTTGGTGGAGTGTGGTGGAGATCTGAGCCTCCAGCCACCACTGCCCAGACCTTGACTCAGCCCCCCTGGCCCAGGGCAGAGGGGAATCCCCACCTCTGGGGACACTTACTGCTCTGGCTCATTCCGGTGGGGCCAATCCATTGGCGCTGCTTCTTCTGGCGAACTGGGTGACAGACAGGAAGCACAGTAAGGAAGGGTGGGGGAGGGTGTAGAGCAGGGGGGGGATAAGGGTGAGGAGGGAGGAAGAGGTCCAAGTGCTCTGTCCCTCCAGTCTTTCCAGCCTCAGTTTCCTAACGAGGGGAAATGGAGCCCTCAGGTGCCAGAGAAGGGTGCGAAGGAGTGTACAGATCCAGCAGGACATTTGGGACCAGCACCCAAATCTCACCCCTAACCTCCCCTAATCGTCCTTCCTTGTCTCTCGAGTTCTGCGAGGCCAGCTGACAACCCCTGGCGTTCACAAGCTGCGGAGCTGCCCATCTGGTAGATGGGGAAATGGAGGCTCAGAGGGATGCCGCGGCTCAGTCAGTGTCACAGCAGCTACTACGGGGTAGACCTGGGGGCCTGGGTCCAGTGTCTCCCGCTGTTAGAGGCCCTGCTTCTGTCCCAGCCCTGGGCCTGCTTCAGCTCAAGGAATGGCTGGGGCCTTCTTCCTGCTTTCTGTTACTGAACAGAGCTGATGGGCAGAGGGGGAGGCTGGGTGGTGAGAGGTTTCGGTACCTACATTTCTTCACCAGCTTCTTGTAGGCGATGGGTCCACACATGACCAGCAGTACAGCCAGAAGCACCAGGGTCAGGATGATACTTGCCACGGTGCCTGCAGCCATGCCTGCTGGGTTTGGATTCTGGCCTGGGCAAGGGGAGGGTGTAGGTCAGTCCTGGCCATGGGGGTAGGGTAGCTGTCCCCTCAGAGGGCATGGCTGCAGTCTGACTCCCCCAAGCCCCTCACTCCTCCCACAGATCCACCAGTATGTGTGGAAAGGAGTTACCTATCTGGCTAGCCCTCTGTCTCCAGGAAATGGCATTCATCCAGCTAGCAGTTGATCATCAAGCTTCTACTTACATTTGCGATCAACTGTTAGTTTTCCCATCATTTGCTACTTAAAGGTGATCAACTTCCCATCATTTACCAACAAGGACATTATATATATATATATATATATATTATATATATATTATATATATATAATATATATATAATATATATATATGGCAAAACAATGCCCATTTATCCATCCATCCCTCCATTCATCCACTCACCCATTTACTCACCCATTAGTCCACCCACCCACCCATCCATCCATCCACCCATTCACTCACCCACTCATCATTTGATCAAGCGATTGATCTATCTATATCCACACATACACCCTTCCACCCTATCCACTCATTTATCCATCCATTCATCTACCCATCTACTCATCCATTCATCTACTCACTCATTAGTCTATCCATTCATTGATTCATCACCTCAACTCAATTATTAAGCTATCCAACCATTCATCTATCCATCCACCTATCCACTCACTCACTAGTCCATCCATCCACCTATCCATCCATCCATCCATCCATCCACCCATTCATCTATCCACCCAAACATTCTTTTACCCACTCACCCATTGGTCCATCCATCCATCCATCCATCCATCCATCCATTCATCTATCAACCCAAACATTCTTTTACCCACTCACCCATTAGTCCATCCATCCATCCATCCATTCATCTATCCACCCAAACATTCTTTTACCCACTCACCCCCATTAGTCCATCCATCCATCCATCCATCCATTTATCTGTCCATCTACCCAACCACTCACTAGTCTATCCACCCATCCATCTCTCTATCCACCCATCCATTCTTTTACCCACTCACCCATTAGTCCATCATCCATCCATCCATCCATTCATCCATCCATTCATTCATTAGTTCATCCATCCATCCATCCATCCACTCTCTCATTAGTCCATCTATTTACCTACCCACTCACCCATCCATCTATCCATCCATCCCTCTTCTATCCATTAGGAAATTACTATGCACATGGCAAATATGTACCACCCACCCCTGATTTTCTAACTTCACCCTGGGAGAGCACAAGCTATAAGGAGAGTTGTGCCATCCATTATCTCCTGGACAGCGATCTCATCAGGTGTTCTCTTTATTGTTCCTACCCATTACTGTCTGAGCCTACTTGCTCTCCAAATCCTTTTTGCCACTCTTTTCTCAGGCTCTGGGGCACTGATGGGGTCCCAGAGGGAAAGTCCAGCCCGCCCTCTGCCCACGGTGGCCTGCAATCAACTCACATGTGACAAACACCCTCTTGCAGTGGGTTTTTCTCTCCTGAAGCTTGTAGCACTGGGACAACTTCTCATGGGGACAGGAGAGCCCTGCAGAGGTCCCACTGGCGTCCAGCGCACGGAAGGAGATGGCCCTGCCGCACTGCTGCTCCTGGCACAGCTCTTCCCACCGGGCCAGACGCTTGGCCACAGAGCTGTCACACAGGACGGCCCACCGCGCACCCTGGCGCACCTCCACACTGCCTTCACACACACTGCTGCCCCCCACCAGGCGGCTCTGCACCTTGGGCTGGAAACCTGAGGAGGAGAAGCACTGGGAGATAAGAGGCAGACTTGACTGGAGGGGCACCCTGAGGGCTTCCTTTTCCATATCCCTCCTTCTTGTACTTCCCCTCACCCAGCTTGGGACCTGGGGCCCCTTGAGCAGCTGCTGGCAGCCAAGATGCATTTCAGAGTGGGGAGACCCAGGGGTTGGGGAGGATCTGCTCCAAGGCCTGGTGGACAGAACCCAGGTATCCCACTGCCCAGGCCCCGCGCTCTGAGGGCCAGACTTTGAGCTATGAGTCCTGATGAGTAGAAATGAATGAACAAGTCTCCTCTGTTGGAGCACGAGGCCGCTCTGCTCCATTTAGAATGAGTTATGATCTCACCAACTTTGGCCAGTTTCCATGGCAACAGCCACTTTCAAAGCCCTAGCGAATCTTCTATTTAGAAGAACCTTCAAAGGCAAGAAGACCCTGGCATGGCTTTGCAGGTTTGTAGTCTGCATGAGGGCTCCTTGATAGGAGCAGAGGGAGAGGGGCTGTAACCAGCCCCTGGGCCAAGACCCTTGGGCACTGCTTCTGCCTGGAGGGGACAGTATATTTCACAAATCTAGGGCCCCAGTCCCAAGAATCCAGAGCTATGCCTCCTATATTTGGGCAGGAATCACAGAGACCTTTCTTTGTGTGTGTCCTAGGGCTTGAACTCAGGGCCTACATGCTGTCCCTTAGCTTTTTTCCACTCAAGGCTACTAGCACTCTACAACTTAAGCCACAGCTGGTCCTCCAGCCTTTTGCTAGTTAAGTGTAATTAAGATTCATACAGACCTTCCTGTCTGGGCTGGCTTTAAACCATGATCTTTAGCCTCCTGAGTAGCTAGGATTATAGGTGGGAGCCACCGGTGCCCAGTCTCTATTTGTAACCAGCTCCCAGGTGATGCCATTGCTGCCCATCTTGGGTGGTTCTCTGAATGCCAAATGCTAAGAGGCAACAGGGTCTGGGTAGACGTGGAAAAACCTAGTGATTGCTGTGTGATTGATAGTTGGCACAAAACGGAACCTCTCTCAGCCTCACCTTTCCCACCCATAAAAGAGGGGTGAGTGTAAAAATGAATGGTCCCCACACTAGGTACGATGTCTGTGAACAGAGTCCAGGCTGCGTGAGAACACTTCTGAAAACAGAGACCCACCACCTCGCCTTGCTTTGAACTGTTCAAAGCACCTGCTGTTCCTTGTTGGCCACCGCCTCGGCCTCCCCTCAGCTACACCAGTGCCACCCAGATCTGTGGCATTGTCCCCCCCTGGTGGGGGTGGGGGGAGGGCTGGCTCTGGTTACACCGCCCCTCCCCCTCCTTTGGCAGCTGTGCTCTGATGTCCAGGCCCCAGGGACCTCCTCTTCCTCATCATTCTTCCAAGTGCATCTCTGGTGACTTAAAAACTTCCTTGGGTCGAGGCTGGCCCTTTCCAGGGGAGAGAGAGTCAGCCATTCTCTGGGCTGGGTTTCAGTGGCAGCCTCCCTGCCCCCACCCTTCCTACTTTTTAGAGGCTTGGGGATGTGGACACCACATCTCTGTCCCTTGTATTCTCTATAAGGAGAATGTGATCATCCCCAGGGCCAGTCCCACTGACCTGAGCAGACCAGGGCCAGCACCTGGCTGTCCTCCTGGGGCTGTATTTTCTGGAAGCACTGAGGCAGGGAGGCACAGCTGGAGTTCTGGACTTTCCATCGAGCTGGCAAAGGGCTCCTTCGCTCAGCCCCACCAGCACTGGCCGTCTCTGTCTCTGTCTCTCTCATTGGTTCCTGCAGGCCTGGGGCTCTGGCTACCTCAGCCTGTGGCAGATGCTTCAGGAAGGTTCCACACTGGAGAGCCGCGCAGAGGAGGTTGCCCAGGCTGTCCAGCGGCTCCTGGGTCTCGTGGAGGATGGTGCCACCCTGGCTGCCGTGGTAGAATTCCACCACGCCTGCGCACTGCGGGCTCCCGGGCCCTGCTACCAGCTGCAGCCTGGGGGGAGCTGGGGAGGGAGGAGGAAGGGGAGGATGGGTCTGAGCACACCTTCACCGTGCCCGGGGTAGCAAGAGCTGAATGCTAGATCTGGCCCTTCCCAGGATGCCTCACTCCCCACCAGGCCTCAAAGCCCTCTTACCTGTGGGTTCTGGGGTAGTCGTGGGTGGGGGGCTCGTGGGTGGTGGAGGTGCCGTCTGGAAGCCTGTAAGGAGACACTGCGGTGAGGAGGAAGGGAGGGAGGAGGAGGAGGGAAGAATGAGGGTGTGGGGAGGGGGGAGAGGAGGAGAAGGACGGCCTGGAACTTGTGACACATGTGCCACTTGCCAAACAAGCTTTGTGACCCCCCCCACACACACACACATGGACACGCCAGCACACACCTCACACTGTCTCAGCCTCCCACAATTTACACATGGGGAAACGGAGGCTAAGAGGGACAAGGAACTTGTCACTGGGCAGAGCCAGGTCCTGTGTCACTCATCCTACCAGACAGATACCAGTGCCCCCCCCCCGCCCTTCCTCTGCCAGTCCCCTATAAGCCAGGGCACCCCTTTCCTTCCATGTGCTTGCTCGGGGTGGGGAGGCCCAGGTCACAGGCCCAGTGGGCGTCTAGCACCTCCCACCCCCTCACCCCCACCATGTCTGGGGTGTCTGGGACCCACCCTGGCAGATGAGGCCCAGTGGAGGGCACTGTGCCGGCGCTGAGCTGGTGCTGCAGTTGGAGAAGGACCCCGTGGGGCCGTGGCAGGTGATCTGTTTCTGGTTCCGGGGGATGCTGAACCTTGGGAAAAACTGGAAGGCCAAGATCTCCCCACAGTGCAGCTGCTGGCAGACTTCCCACCTGTGTTGGGGAGCTTCGTCCAGGCGGTCCAGGCTCCCACCCCAGCTCCGCCGGCACACTGTGAGCCACACGTCCCCCGTGATGGAGACCTCCAGCTGGCCCTGGCACCTTGACGGGGAGCCAGTTAACCTCACCTGGAAATCTGGGGGTTAAAGAGGTAGTAGAAGGTATTAGGGGGGGCAGGGAGTCTCCATGGTCCATCCCGACCTGCACCTGTGTCCTCAGGCCTAGCCAGGTTCCCTCCTGCCCCTCCTGCTGTCTCCTCCTTTGCTCCCCTTGAACCTTGTACCTTCTGGGGAAATGGTGGAGGGGAACTCAAGGCAGGAGACAAAATGCCTTCAGCCCCTCTTTCCGGCAGACCTCGCCTCCATTCCTGGAAATTCTCGCTCAGTGGGTCCTGACTGGTCTATTTGTGTTTCAACTCTTAAAATCTATTTCCACCCCCTTCAATACTGGAGATTGGACCCAGGGCCTTGCACTTGCTCTACCTCGTAAGCTAGACCTCTAGTATCTTTTTGCATTGATTATTTTGAAGTAAGGTCTTTCTTTCGTCTCAGGCTGGCCTGGGCTTTGATCCTCCGGGGGTCCCCATGTTTGCTGGGGAGGGACTGGTGCGTGACACCACGCCCAACCCTTGAGATGACAGGTACATATGATGGTGCCCAGCCGTTGGCTGAGATGGAGCCTCACAAACTTCTTGTCTGGGTTGGCCTCAAACTTTAATCACCCCTATCTTCATCTCCCAAGTAGCTAGGATTACAAGGTTTGAGTCACTGTGCCCGGCTTAAAATTATTTTCACTACAGTACAATTTCCATGCAGTGAAATGCCCTGATTTTAAGAAGACTGTTTAATGCGATTGGAAAAATTATTCAAGCACACAGCCACCATCCTAATTGGAGATTTGAGGCATGTCCATCAAGCAGGAAGTTCTCGAATGGCCCTCGACAATTAATTTCCCCAAATCCAGCTTCAGGCGACCACGGATCTGCTTTCTGTCAGAAGAAATTAGTTTTGCCTATTCCACAAGGTCATAGACTTAAACAGAATTATATGCATATTTTTTGAGCCTGGCTTCTTTTGCTCCACCTATTTTTATGTATTTGAAACTTGTGGATGTTGCTGCCTGTCTCGGCAGTTCATTTTTTTTATTGATAAGTAACATATCACTGTATAGATTTGCTACATGGTATTCCACAACTATTAGGATTGTTTCTGGGAACTGCTACTAAGAATCAAGCTGTTATAAACAGCCAGGTACATGGTTTAGTGTAGGCCAGGTGTATTTCCACTTTTTGTGGAGTAAATACCTAGCAGTGAAATTGCTAGGTCATATAGGTAGGTGACTTTGGGAGTGTGTGTGTGTGTGTGTGTGTGTGTGTGTGTGTGTGTGTGTGTGTGAGTACTGGGACTCAGGGCCTTGCAGTCTCTCTTGCTTGGCTTTTTTGCTCAAGGCTGTTATTCTACCACTTGAACCACAGCTCTACTTCTGGCTTTTTGCTGGTTAGTTGGAGATAAGGGTCTTTCATATCTATCTTCCTGGGCTGGCTTTGAACAGCAGTCCTCAGATCTTAGCTGCCTGAACCGCTAGCCTCACAGGTCACTGCTGCTTGGTGGCTTCTGTGATTTTTATGAGGCTCCGTGGGAGTAAATGGCTCCTCAGTATCTATGGAGGATTGGTTCTCAAACCTCCCACCGTTAATAAAATCCACAAGGTCCTTACATAAAATAGTATAGGGACTAGGGAGATAGCTCAGTGGTAGAGTGTGTGATTAGCATGTGCAAAAGGCCCTGGGACCAGGTCCTTTATTAATTTTTCCTGCAGAAAAATAAAAAGGCACGGTATTTGCATATGACTGACACACATTCTCCTGAATACTTTAAACCATCTCTACATTACTTATAACCCTAATACAATATAGACGCTATATAAAGGGTTATTATACTGTATCGTTGAGGGAATGAGAGCAAGAAAAGCTATCTATGAATGTTCAGAGCTAACCCTGTTGGGCCTAGCTACATTTCTGATCTGCACTTGGCTGAAACCAGAGGTGGGAGGGCCAATTGTGTGTGCATGCATGTGTGTGTGTGTGTATGTTGGGTGCAGGTGCGTGAGCGCACATGTAAGGTGCATGTGGTTTGCGCATGCACATTTGTGTTTGTGCTTCATGTGCGCATGCGCGCTTGTGTGTGATGCGTGTGGTGTCGTATATATAGTTTGTGTGCGTGTGTGTTTGCATGAAGAGCTTGGAGGGAGATGCAAGGGAGGAATGGACGTGGCCATTGCCTGGGGTGTCGGGTATGGGTGGAGACTGGACAGATGGAGCAGAGATGGAAGCAAGGCTTTGTTGCGGATTTTCTTTTTCCCATGTAAATCCGAGCAGAGTGAATATGTTTATTCAAGACAAGTTCTGAAAGGTGAAAGGTTCTTTGAGGAGGCTCTGGGGTGGAGGTGTTTCCTGGCTGGGAACTGCTTCATCTCACTGATGAGAACATGAGCGGCTCAAGAGGGCAGGGGTGGGCCTTGCCAGGGTTAGGTGGGCCAGCGAGGGGCAGGCCAGGCTGGTCCGACACCTCACATTTGCTGAATCCTTTATTTGGCTTTGTGCCCAGCAGCTCACTCACTGGCTGCTCCCAGGGAAGAGAATGTTCTCCTCATCTCATGGGTGGGGAGATGGGCATTCGGAGAGCAAGTAACTTGCTAGAGGTCAGTGTTAGAGGCAGCTTCAGGCCCTGGCCCCCCCGGGGGCTGCTGAGCCCCTACAGCCTTTTCTAGCTTCAGTACTTCTGAAGTAAATTCAGCACAATGGGATCTGAAGCAAGACGAAAGAGAGGCCCGTGGTGGGAGGAGTGAGGAAACTCCTGAGTTTTTTAAAAAAGAAAAAAAAAAGCTTCACTTGGCTTGAGTTTTCCAACTGTTTGGGAGCCTGAGATGGGGAGAAACACTGAGGCCAGCCTGGACAAAAAAGTGAGTGATATTCCATCTCAGCCAGTAAGATCGGGGTGGTAGTGAGTGCCTGTTAAGCTCAGTAGTGTGGGAAGCCTAGGTAGGAGCATCCTGGTCTGAGGCGAGTCCTGGGCAAAAACCAATAGGAGAAAGTGAAAAAGAAGTGGAAAGGCCTGAGGGTATGGCTCAGAGTCAGAGCACTGTAAAGGAGCACTAACTGGTCAGTGTATCTCTGATGCATGGAGACAGAGTCAGGATAGCAACTGACATGAGAACTCGTGTTTGCATGGTTCCTTGCAGTCATCAAGGGCAGCACCCGCACAGGGGCATCTTCTGCGTGTGCATGCGTGTGCACGTGTGCACCTGAGCTTGCGCACCTGTGTCTGAATATGAAGTAGCACTTGCTCTGGTGGAGGTGACAGCTTCTTCATGGGCTCGATGGTGTCACCTCCCTCCCTCCCCCCCCCCCAGCCCCAGGCCCTCCCCTCACACAGCTGTTCCTTACCTGGCCCGTCCCACCTGGACCCGAGGCAGGAAGTGACTGTGGAAAGGAAAGAGGAAGGTCAGGAAGTGAAGCTCATGCCCTGGGCAGCGGCCTTGATGGCTCCCTGCCCCTCACTCCACGGCTATGGGGTTCCAAATGCAGGGGCTTTCATTCCAGGGCTTGGAACTCCTAAGTGAGCCTGAATTTGTCATAGGAGATTACAACTGTCCATTCTTTTCCTCTTGCAAAAAAGCAACACCTACTTTTTTTGGTGGGGGGGGTAGGGGGGAGCTGGTTCTGGGGCTTAAACTCAGGGCCTGGGCACTGTTCCTTAGATTCTTTTGCTCAAAGCTAGCACTCTTCCATTTGAGGTATGGCTCTACTTCTGGCTTTCTGGTGATTGCTTGGAGATAAGAGTCTCATGGACTTTCCTGCCTGGGCTGGTTTTGAACTGTGATCCTCCCTTCTCAGGCTCCTGAGGAGCTAGGATTACAGGTGTGAGCCTTGCGTGGCTGGCAACAACTATTTATTTATTTATTTTGGTCGGTCATGCAGCTTGAACTCTGGGCCTGGGCGCTGTCCCTCAGCTCTTCAGCTCAAGGCAAGTGCTCTGCCACTTGAGCCACAGCGCCACTTCCAGTTTTCTGGTGGTGTATTGGAAATCAGAGTCTCACGGTCTTTCCTGCCAGGGCTGGCTTTGAGCCACAATCCTCAGATCTCAGCCTTCTGAGTAGCTAGTCTGACAGGCGTGAGCCACCAGCAACTGATCACAACTAGTTTTTAAAATGACTCTGCAGGGGCTGGGAAGGTGGCTCAGTGGTAGAGCACTTGCCTTGCATACCTGAGGCCCTGCGTTCGATTCCTTAGCACCACATAAGAAAAAAGAAAAGCCGAAAGTGGCACTGTGGCTCAAGTGGTAGAGTGCTAGCCTTGAGCTGAAGAGCTGAGGGACAGCGCCCAGGCCCAGAGTTTAGGCCCCACGATCAGACCCCCCCCACCAAATAAAAAAGAAAAACAAAAGGCAAAAAGCCTGGCTTTTCTATGCCTCCATCAGGAAGAATGACATTGCCCCATTTGTTAGGAAATGGAAAGACTTGGAAAAAATTATATTAAGTGAAGTAAGCCAAGCCCAAAGAAACATAGGTCCCATGATTTCCCTTATTTGCAATATCTAGTATATGTATGAGTCAAGCAGAAAAGGTCAGATAAGGTGACGCTAGGAAAATGAACCCTAAGATATGCATTTTAAATGTTTTTTTTGTTTCTTTCATGCATTTGTTTCTAACGCAATTATAAGATTATTTCTTTGTTGCTTTGTATGTCCCTCCCCCACAGTATAACCCATGCTTTCACTGTATTTGATGTCGGTATAATATGTGGAGGGGAAGGGAAAAACAAGTCGTTTAAATAAGGATACAGGTGGACCCGTTGCAACAATGAGAAGTACAAGTTGTCATGTCAAAAACGAACTTTACAACTTGGTGGGGGGAGGATTGGGTGGGGGGAGGGGGGAGGATGGGAAGGGATGGGAAGGGTAAACAAAGGAGGAGGCTACAATGCTTGATAAGAAATGTACTCACTATCTTGCCCATGTAATTGTAACCCCTCTGTACAGTATTTTCACAATAAAAAATAATAATAATTTAAAAAAAGCGCCTGGCTTAGTTAGTAAAACACTGGGTTTGGAAAGGAAAAATAAGTTGTCCCAGCCGGGTGTTGGTGGCTCATGCCTGTAATCCTAGCTACTCAGGAGGCTGAGATCTGAGGATCATGGTTCAAAGGCAGCCTGGGCAGGAAAGTCTGTGAGACTCTTATGTCCCAGAAAACCAAAAGTAGCACTGTGGCTCAAGTGGTAGAGCACTAGCCTTGAGCTGAAGAGCTGAGGGACAGCACCCAGGCCCAGAGTTCAGGACCCACAATCAGACCCCCCCAAAAATAAAATAAAAATAAATAAAATGACTCTGCAGGGAATGATTCTTCTTTGGTGTACACTGGAGCATGTTGCTGATGGAGATACGCACCGGCTCCATCGCCCACAGCCCTCCTCACGCCGCCCCTTTGGAGTTGTAGGACGCAACCATCCCTTTCCTCAAACAAGCAAAATGACAGAACAGAGGCCACTGGAGCACACTGGCGCACTGGGTCTTGGGAGGGTGAGAGTCGCTTTTTGCGGGTTGGGGGATTGCGGCATTAATCCCTTCCTCCCCTCCGTGTGCATTTTTCACTCCAGAAAGTCTGACCATCTGAACAATCAACCAAAAAGGAAACTCAAGGCGTTTGCTCCTTTCTGGGCCTCCAGGCAGGACCGGAGGCCCAGCAGCGGCCTTGAACAGCCCAGCATAGGCTTCTATTAGAGGAGACTGTGGCACAGACAGGTGGAAGGACCTGACCACGCTGACCTGGTGGCTTCGCTCCCTAGTTGGTAAGGGAGTCATCGTCATCACCACCATCGCCATCACCCTCAACACCAACATCACCATCATCACCAGCACCAGACACTACCACAACCATTACCACCACTACCATCACCATGACAGGCCAGAGAACAGGGGCTGGGGACCCGGCCCTACCCAGGATGCACCGTGGGGAGGGGTAGGGAAGGCGACTGGGGCCTGAGTCTCAGGTCGGCATCCTGACTCCCATCCGTGGGCCTCAGCCTTGCTTCTCTTGGAGGCTGCGGACGACAGCATTTATATAGGAAGCAGCTGTTTCCATTGCTTGGGAGAAATCCTCTCTGGGTCTAAAGAAACAGCAGATTTTTTTTGAAAGGCTGGTTCTTGTCTTGAGTAGTCTCAAACTGGCGGTAGAATTTTAAGGGGACAGCACCCCCACCGTCCCCGACTCACTGTAACCAAGTCACTGGGGCCCTGGGCTAGGCCTCACCACCACAGTTGTCCTGAAATAGCAGGGCTTGGAACAGAGCGTGTCAGGCATGGAGCAGTGTCCAAGCTCTGGCTTGGGTAGAAATGGATGGCCCAGCTGTCAATCATCTGATCTATCACAGTGGGCGGGGCGACCTCAGCAGGAAGTGGTATAGAAGCTGGGAGACCCTTTGCCCTGCTGGCCCCCAGGAAGCAAGGCAGTCCATCTTCACGCAGCCATTCCTTTGGCTAAGTCATGAGGGCTGAAGCATCTCGAAGTGGTGTTAGTGGGGGAGAGAGGAGACTCTTGGACCTCTGCTGCTCTAAGGCACAGAACCAGTTCGTAGGCACTAATATGTACCTAGTGCTGGTGGGATGCTTCCTGCAGGTGGGCCTGGGACCTAGGAAGTCTCTGAACCCCTTTCAACCTTGGTTTGCTCATTCGTTGCCTGAACTGAGCACAAGACCACCTTTCCGGTGCTGATGAAGGGCCTCACAGGCCTGGGCTTGGTGCTCAGAGCTGGGGTAACCGATCTGTGGCGGGCTAGGCTTGGGGATTTCCCTATGGGAGGATCCCCTTTATAGAAAGCACAGAGTCCAGACCACCAAGGCTCCACATGTCCCTTTCCCAAACTCACAATTCTTTTTTTTTTTTTTTTGGGTCGGTCGTGGGGCTTGAATTCTGGGCCTGGGCGCTGTCCCTGCGCTCTTCAGCTCCAAGGCGAGTGCTCTATTGCTTGAGCCACAGCGCCACTCTCAGTTTTCAAGTGGTTTATTGGAGATAAGAGTCTCATGGACTTTCCTGCCGGGCTGGCTTTGAACCACGATCCTCAGATCTCAGCCTCCTGAGTAGCTAGGATTACAGGTGTGAGCCACCAGCGCCCAGCAAACTCACCATTCTTAACAGCACTTGTGGTATGCCACATATCTGAGCTGGCCAGCTTGAGGTGGTGCTAGTCTTTGGCTGGCCAGAGGTAGCACTGGGCTCAAGCTTGGGAGTAAGGCTTGGGAGTAAGGGAGAAAGGCCTCTGATGCTCCTTCAGGGTACTCAGAGTGGAGATGTAGACATGAACACGAACCTGACCCTAAGGTCTGCAGCAGACAGACGCTGAAGTCCTGGGGCAGGGACTCGGCCAGGCCAGCCCTGTCCATCCCTATCGGCCAGCCCAGGCTCCGTTCACAGATCACCCTCAGGAAAGATCAGACGAGCGAGAACCACGGGAGCCCTGAAAAAGAAAGTGCTGCTGGCCACTAGGGGCTCACGCCTGTCATCCTAGCCACTCAGGAGGCTGAGAGCCGAGGATCACGGTTCAAAGCCAGCCCAGACAGGAAAGTCTGTGAGACTTTTATCTCCAATGAACCACTAGAAAACCAGAAGTGGAGCTGTGGCTCAAAGTAGAGTGATAGAAGGCTAACCTTGAGTGAAAAGGCTTAGAGACAGCGTCCCAGGCCCTGAGTTCCAGCCCCATGAACGATTATGAAAAAAAAGAAAGAAAAAAAAAAGAAAGTGTCCTGTGGTGAAATGACCCAAAGTCTAGGCTGTGTGGCCTTTGCCTGGGTGCCTGCCTGGTCCACAGAGGAGTGATATTTCCTGTCTTCTCTCTCAAGCACAGCCACATGACCATCGATTGCCTCCACCACCTTCTCTGCCATGGCCAACACCATCACCGCCATCACCAACACCACCATCACCTCCACCGGCACTGTCACTACTACCATCTTCATCGTCACCATCACAATTGCTCTCATGACCACCACCACCTCTGACGTCATCGCTGTCCCCAGTGCCACCATCCTCACCGTCACCGCCATTGCCATCGCCATCACTACCGTTCATCACCATCACCGCCACCACCACCACCACCACCATCACCTTGTTTGCATTCTTCTTAGCTCTCCCAGTCCGTAGAGTAGGTTTTTCCTATTTTATATACTGTGAGGGGTTAAATAGCTTGTCCCACGCAGGGGGTGCAGCGGCCTCGCAGGGCTTTGGAGGGAAGCCTGCGAGGCCCCTCCGTGCCTCACAGTTGCTGCATGTTCCTATCATGGGGATGAGTGTAGACTCCACTCAATCCCCAACACAGGAGTGGGCTCAGTTGGCTGGTAGGTAAGGAGATGACGTTTCAAAAGTCGAGCGCGGTTGGTTCATGAGTGTAATCTAAGCTTCTTCAGGAGGCTGAGAACAGAGGATTGCTGTTCGAAGCCAGCTTGGGCAGGAAGGTCTATGAGGCAGTCTTTTCTGCAATTAACCACCAAACAGCTGGAAGTGGAGCTGTGGCTCAAGTAGTCGAGTGCTAGCCTTGAGGGAAAAAAAAATCTCAGGGACAGCGCCCAGAGTCTGAATTCAAGTCTTAGTAGTAACATGAGAGACAGAGACAGAGACAGAGACACAGAGAGAGGAACACACACACACAGAGAAGAGACAGAGTTTGCTTCGATGATCCTTCATCTTCCTCTCCCTACTATATATAATCTTTGGCCCCCAGTGGGTCCTGGTGTCTGGGCGTGGAGAGCGGCAGGTGCGGTGAAGTGTGGAGTGTCCAGCAATACTTCTAGTCATGATCGACCCCGGCCTCTTTCCATCTTTTCAGTTTTTCCATCTTTTCAGTGTCGGGGCAATTCCAGGCTGAACTCAAGTTCTCTGGGGCCCCCCCTGAGTGACTACTCCTTCTTGCTTAGAACTCCTGCAGCCCGAGGCTTGGGCTGTGTGGTCTGAAACACTCAAGGGCACTGGGGACACAGGACCTGGAAGCGTTCCATTATTCTCTCACGTGCAGTTCACATCTTTCCTCTGAGCAACTAGGGCCTGGATGAGGTTCTCCCAGGCCCCTTTCCATCTCTACTAACTCTAGCCCCCCTCCCCGCCCATACACACACCCAAGCCTCACAATGTAGGGCTTGCACAATGCTCAAGCCTGAAGAGCCACAGAGGGTTGGCCCTGGGCAGGTCACTGTCTTGTTCTGCGTGTGTAGAAATGGAAGCACCAGGAGCCTGCCTGCTCTGACAGGTCTGAGTGAGGACCAGAGCAATTCCTGGGATAGATCCGAGGACCTCCCTCCACTTCTGATGACACCCAGCCGCCCTAGTCCTGGCCTTCTCCATAGCCTTCACTGTTTTGGTCCCCTCTGCCTGGGACTCTTTCCTCCTTTCTCTGCCGGGCTGGTTCTTTGACTCTATTGGATCTCAGGGGACTTCACCTTCGGGGTGCCTGGCCTGCCAGGCTAAGAGGGCCATCTGGGGCCCAACTCATCAGCCAGCCAGCTGGTGTTTCCTGTGTGGCACTTGTCTGGGTTTCTCTTGTCCCTTCCCTTCCCTTCCCTTCCTTTTTTTCTTTTCCATTGTGGGGCTTGAACTCAGGGCCTGGGCACTGTCTCTGAGCTTTTGTGCTCAAGGCTAGCCCATTACCACTTTGAGATAAGAGTGTCACTGACATTTCTGCCTGGACTGGTTTCAAAATGTGATTCTCAGATCTCAGCCTCCTGAGAAGCTAGGATTATAGGCATGAACCACGGGCATCTGGCTTTGTCAGGGTTTCAGGTGAGAATGTCAGGCACTTGTTTCTGCCTGGCCTTGGTTGAGCCTGTGGCTGGGCAGTCAGTGGCACACCAAGACCTACCCAAGTCACTGCTGGCCTCGGCGTCACTGCTGGGCCTCAGGGTCACTGCTGGCTTCAGGGTCACTGCTGGGCCCTGCCTCTGGGCACAGAGCTGGGCACCCAGTGTATATTCTAAATAGATGAATGAATGACCAGAGGCCTGGGGTCAAGATTGATGGCTAGGTGAGCATCTAGCAAGACACTCTTTCCCGCCCCATCCTACTTCATCGTGTTTCCTGCTGGCCTGGTAATAGCTATAACCGTTGCTGTTGTTATTATTCATGTGTATTGAGCTCTTGAACTACTGTACAATGCATGGCACTTGATGTGCATTCGTTTATCAAATCCCATTAAATCTCTAGGAAGCATATTACCATTTTCAGTGTACAGATGAGAAAACTGAGGCTTATAAGACTAGCCCAAGGTCACCTAACTGGCAAATGGCAGACCAGGATCCAAACTGGCTTCTGGAGCCTGTGGCCCGGCGGCCTGGTAAGCCAGGCCCGGCCTGAGCTACCTCCCCACTCCCTCCACCCCCAGTGGGTGAGGCCCAGGCAGGCTGTGCTAGAAGGCCCAGCATGGAGAATCTGGCCTGCCATGCTCACCCCAGGAACATTGGGGGCCATAGTGTCCTCCAGCTCCGAGGCTGTGGTGTCCCCAGAGCTGGGGTGCTAATGGGTCTGTTTTTATGTCTCCTAGGGATGGCCCCCCCATCCTCAGGACTGCATATCACTGTGAAGGCTGTGTCCCGAGGCTTTGAGGGACTGTCCTCTTCGCTAAGGGGACAGAGAGGGACCCTGTGAGGGCGTGGGGGCTGGCCTTGGCTTGGCCACTTGGCTTTTCTGGGCCTTAGTTTTCCTCACTGCAAAATGGACGTGATAGGCCTCTCTACTTCCTGCACTACTGAGATGCATCAGTAATAAATGGCTTTAAAGCTGGGCACCAGTGGCTCACGCGTGTAATCCTCGCTACCCAGGAGGCTGATATCTGAGGATCGCGGTTCGGAGCCAGCTCAGGTAGGAAAGTCCATGAGACTTTGATCTCTAATTAATCACCAAAATAGGGTCAGAAGTGGAGCTTTGGCCAAAGTGGTATAACACTAGCCTTGAGCAAAATAGCGTAGGGACAGTGCCCAGGCCCTGAGTTCAAGCCTCACAGAAAAAAATAAATGGGAGCCTGGTGCTGGTGGCTCACACCTGTAATCCTAATTAGCCAGGAAGTTGAGATCTGAGGATCACAGTTCGATGCCAGAGCTGGAAGGCAAGTCCGTGAGACTCTTCAATGAAAACTGGAAGTGGTGCTGTGGCTCAAAGTGGTAGAGTACTAGCCTTGAGTAGAAGAGCTCAGGGACAGCATTCAGGCCCTGAGTTCAAGCCCCACGACTGACAACAATAAAAATAAATGGCTTTAAAAGTATTTTGTCCACAGTGACCCCCTGGAGCAAGGGTATGTATTAACCACCAGACTGCCATTTACACAGGCTCTGTCCTCACACCCGCACTGCCAGGATGGGCTTCCGGTGGGAGGCTCTGCAGACCAGGACCCTCAGGGCCCCCTCCATGGCCAATGGGGCGCTTAGCCGGCTCAGCCTCTCTGGGCTAGATGTGGGCTGGGGAGGGTAAAGGCCTGCTCCCTAGGAACCCCCAGAACCAGAGGCTAACAATAGCACCCTAGCAGGGTACAGAAAGGCAACCAGTGGCTGCTTATCTGGGGACAGAAGCACTTTGAGCCTCTGGCGGCTCCATGTACAAATGGCCATGTGAGTTCACGCGTGCCTGAGCCATGGTTCCACGATGAGGGGAGGCGGCCATGCAGTGCCCAGGAAAGTCATGCACACAGGCACACACATCCAAATTTACACACACGCACATGCACGCGCGCGCACACACACACAGACTCACTCTAGGTGCAGATCAAGGCCCCTGCTGAGGCTGTGAGACCCCTGCCCCTTCCCTGCAAAGCGGGAAACCCTTTGCTTCTTCCTAACCACCCCAGAGCCTGGCACCCCTCGCCCTGGCCTATCCAACAAGCCTTCTGGAACCGGCGGAACCCCTTCCCTACATGCTGTAAATGGGCAGACGGGGGTGTGGAGAGGGTAGGGGCCTGTCAGTGCCACTCCTAGCCAGGCTTAGAGCTCAAGCGTGGGCCTCCAGACCCACTGCCTGCCCGTAGGCTCCCCACATGCCCATGACCTTCCCCACTGGCCCCCAGGACTGTGTGTGAGAAGAGTCAGGAGCTACTATGGCGGCTTCAGAGGGGTCAGCTCTGCCTCGGCCCACTCTCCCCAGGCATCCTCACAGCTGCCCTGTCCCCAAAGGTAACTGAGGGAAGGCTGGGCCCTTTGGAGGCGCGGGGCAGAGAGGCTGCACAGGATGAGGCTGGACAGCCCGACTTCTGGGCTGAGTCTCCTGAGCACGGATCTCCAGGGATGCCCTCAGTGGCGTGCAGAGTTGGGATGGTGGAGGTGGAGGGATGAGTAGGGCCTAGGGATGTGGCTAGAGGAGCAAATGGGGGCCAGAGAGGAGAGGAGGTGGGGTGCTGGTAGCCCCAAACCTCCCGAACATTCCAGAAATAATCTGGAGAGCATCCATCTTGTCCCCACACTCCAGCATGTGTAGGGGTCCAGTCAGAGCTGGCAGGTACTCACCCAGCATCCCCAGCAGGTACGTGGTGGCCAACGATGTTTTCTGAGAGCCCATGGGGACAGCCTCCTTCCGCCTCAGCCTCCAAGCTCAGCACCCGTGGGTGAGGGTGTCTGGCCCCGCGGGGTGTCTTGTTCTCAGGGAGGGAGGGGTGAGGAGGGCTAGGGAAGCAGGCATGTGCCTGCGTCACCCATGTGTTTGAAGTTGAACTGTCAACTTCCTCCTGGCAACGAACCACTTGTCTCGGTTCGAATGGTGGCCCTGGCTTCTCCAGCTTCCTGCCCTAGATGCCCAGGACTGGGGCAGAGCCCCTGACCGACCACCCCATCACCAGACAGGGCCATCGTCCTGGTGGGACGAGGCTGTGGTTTGCAGGGGCCGCGGAAGGAGGTGAGAGCAGGTGGATAGAGGTGTGGACAGGCAAGGTCCAAGCTGGGGTCCCAGCCGTCCAAAGGGCTCCGAGCTGGGCTGGGGGGGGCAAGGGGAGAAAAGAGGAGACACGATCCACCACCACCACCGCTGCTGCTGCTGCTTCCTCCTCCTCCTCCTCCTCCTCTTCCTCCTCCTCCTCCTCACAGTAATGGGGCTTGAACTCAGGGCCTGGGTGCTGTCCCTGAGCTGTTTTTTTACTCAAGGCTATCGCTCTACCACTTTGAGCCACAGCTCCACTTTCAGTCTTCTGGTGGTTCATTGGAGATAAGAGTCTCATGGCCTTTCCTGTCCAGGCTGGCTTTGAACTGTGATCTTTAGACTTTAGCCTCCTGAGTTGCTGGGATTATAGGCATGAGCCACTAGCACCAGCTATAATACCACTTCTTGCTGCAGGTTCAATGTGGAGTAAAAACTAAGCAGGATTCTTTATATAAAATTATATATATATACATGTATATATATATATATATACATATACATATACATACACACACACATAAAAACTCCAAGATATGGAAAGCAAGAGTCTCTCTCTTTTTTTTTTTTGTCAGTTGTGGGGCTTGAACTCTGGGCCTAGGTGCAGTTCCTCAGCTCTTCAGCTTAAGGCGAGCACTCTACCACTTGAGCCACAGCAGAGTTTCACAGACTTTCCTGCCTGAGCTGGCTTTGAACAGCGATCCTCAGATCTCAGCTTCTTGAGTAGGTAGGATTTACAGGCGTGAGCCACCAGCACCTGGGTAAGAGGTCTCTTTTTTTGTTCTTCGTGTTTTCTTTTCTTTCTGTTCGGTTTGTTCATTTGTCTGTCTTTGGGAGGGTGTGTGTGTGTGTGTGTGTGTGTGGGCACAGAACTCGAGGGAACCGGGGTGAAGAAGTGCAGCAGTGGAGCTCACTGGACCCTGGTGAAAGTGAACTGCACAAATCGTGGGTGGAGATGGGAGGGAGGGACTGGGAGAGAGTGAGGAAAGGGATGATACTGTATGAAAGGAAATGTACTCATTACCTGACTTGTGTAATTGTAATCTCTCTGTACATCACCTTTACAGTAACAATAAAGTAAAACAACAACAGCAATAACTAATCAGGGTCTGTGAGCTTGGGCCAGGGGCCCAGCAGTAGCCCACCACCCTTTGGTAGTCCTGAGGGTAGAAGTATAAGGTGAACTCCCATGGCTGGTCTTGACCAGTGAGTTCAGGGTGGTCCTCTCTGAAAGCTTGGATTTTTGCACACACACGTGTGTGTGTGTGCGTGTGCGTGTGTGTATACGTGATCTCCACATACTAGCACACATGTGATTGCTATCTCCACATGCTCAGGGAGCTGTTTGCCATGAGGGATGAAGAAGATGTCATCACAAGACATCTAAGGGAAAAACATTGTAATTCGATTCTCCCCCCTCACCGGTGACTGGACTAACTGTAGGAAGAAAGTATCCAGCAAATTGTTGGAAGATGGTTGGGAGTTTTCTAGCCACCTAATGGTTAAGAAAAGGCTCTCCAGCCTACAGGTGGCTTAACCACACGCAGTGTCTGGAAAGATAGACTTAACTTGCCAAAACAAAGATCCAGGCCCATAAATCAGAGCCTAGGGGTTGTTCTCTCTCTTTCTGTAAACTCCCAACCCCTGACATGCTAGCTAGCTTCCCTGTGGTCTCAGTGACCCCCGAATTTCCCACAGGCAAGCCCAGGAAGAACGTAATGCCTGGTACTTAATGCTGTACTTCACCCCCTGGACACAACCAGCTTTCTGTATGTCAAAAGGCTGTTCCTTCCTTAGTAATGTTCCTGTCACTTTCACTACACTTTGTGTCTCGCCTGGATTCTCTCACTGCTGCAATGGATAATTCGGCTGACTTTCCTGTGTGTGCCACCTTCATGTTAGCATGTGTGGCCTCCCTGTATGCGAGCTCCATGTTGTATGTGATCTCCGTGTTGCACTATTGTATGTGATCTCCGTGTTGCACGTGGTTTCTGTGTTGTGTGTGACCTTTGTGTTATGGGCAGTCTCCACATTGTGTGTGATCTTCACGTTGGAGTGTGTGTGTTAGAGAGATCACCATGTGGATGTGTGCATGTGATCTGTGTGTTGGGATGGATGTGTGTGTGATTCTCATGTTGGTGTGTGTGTGTTTGTGTGTGTGTGTTAGGGAGATCTCCATTTGTGCATGTGATTTTCATGTCAGGATGGATATGTACGTGTGTGATCTTCATATTGGAGTGTGTATATGTTAGAGAGACCTCCAGGTGAATGTATGCATGTGATCTTTGTGTTGCAGTGGATGTGTGTGTAATCTTCATGTTGAAGTGTGTGTGTGTTTGTGTGTGTTAGAGAGATCTTCATGTGGTTGTGTACATGTGATCTTCATGTTGGGGTGTATGTGTGTGTGATCTCTAGGTGCATCTGGCTCTTGGAGGGGCAGGAATCTCCCTCTGGCCTGCTGAGTAGAGGGTCTCTGGGACTCTGCAGGGTGAGTGGGGCCTGGGGCAGGAGCAGGGCTCCAGTCTCCTGCCTGGGCTGGTCCAGTTCCTTCCTCACTTTGTTCTCTGGGCTATCCTAAGCAGGTGTGGAGTGTGCCCAGGACATCAGTGTTTGAGGATAAGGGTGGGAGTGTGGACTCTAAGCCCCCAACAGCAGGGACCCTCTGTGCTTCTCCCTCCTGGATGGTGAGGTTGCCATAGCAACCTATCTACTCAGCTCTGCTTCCCAGCATGCAATGCTCCCACGTTACTTTCTGCTGCCTCAGGGCCTGGAGGGTTTCCAGGTGCTGGAGCCCATTTCTCCTCAGACAGAGAAATGAGGGCTCTCATGGCGGTGGCCCTAGGTATCACACCTACTGGGACAGGATTGGGGGTGCCCCCTCCCTCCACGGTGGTATTGGCCCCATGGGAGCTGTTCCTTGCTCCTGCTCACATCTGCCTTCCTAAGGTCCTTTGATCCTGGAGAGACATCTTTATCCTGCCTTCCCTCTGGGGACCTGACTGGGTGACTTTTTTTTCTTCTTCACATCTTTCAGGTTTGGTGTTTATTGGGCCCACGGGCTGTATATTACCTCCAGTGCCCACATCCAGCTCGCATAGCAGTAGCCCCAAAGGGAGAGGGCGATTTCCTTAAGCACCATCTGAACCCCAGGCATCTCCTCACCGACTTCAGTCTCCTCAGCCACAGGAAGTGGGGGCAGCGTCCCATTTCACAGATGGAAAGATCGAGTCTCTGAAGGTAACAGACTGGCTCCAGACTTAAACCCGCAGTGTTCTCCCTCTTTCCCCTCTCCTCTTTATCTAGAGCAGAGAGCAAACGAAAAATGTTAACTTTCGAGTCTATCCTGCCCAAGGGTACGATTTCTACTTTCTTGTGTTTGATTTCTTTTTTCAGTCTTTGGAAAATTGAAAGTAAGCTGGGCGGCAATGGCACCTCCGTGATTCTAGCTTCTCATCAGACTGAGATTGAGGATATTCGTTTGAAGCCAGTCCAAGAAAAGTCCAAGAGACCATTTATCTCCAATTCACCACCAAAAAGCTGGAAGTAGAGCCGTGGCTCAAGTGGTAAAGCACCAGCTTGAGTGAAAAAGCTGAGACAGTGTGCAGGATCCGAGTTCAAGCCCCAGTGCCAGCACAAAAAAAGAAAAGGAAAAAAGAAAATTGAGAGGAACAAAGGGTGAACAAACGCAGCAGTGGTACTCACTGGACACTATGTTGAAAATGAACTATACAGCTTGTGGGTGGGAATGGGAGGGAAAAAAGGGAGAGAATAAGGGAAGGGTCACTGTAACCAGACCACTGTACATCACCTTTATAATAACAATAAAAGCATTTCAAAGAAAAGAAAATCCATTTAGGTGCTGGTGGCTCCCACCTGTAATTCTAGCTTCTCAGGAGGCTGAGATCTGAGGATATTGGTTCAAAGCCAAGTTGGGTAGGAAAAGTCCATGAGACGCTTGTTTCCAATGATCTACCCAAAAGCTGGAAGTAGAACTGTGGCATAAGTGGTAGAATACTAACTAGCTTTGAGTAAAAACGCTCAGGGGCAGTGCTTAAGTTCTGCTCAAGCTCTGAGTTCAGGACCCAGGATGGGCACAAAAAAGAAACAAGAAAATTGAAAGTAGGCTGGCCGGGTAGCTCTGAGTGGTGGGGCCCTGCCTCTGCCTCTGTCCAGTGCCCCCTGCACCCTGTCTCCCCTCCTCCACTGACTCCCCTCCCCCAGGCCCTGTCCCCACTCAGACCCTAGATCCCTGGTGAGTTTCCTGTCCCTGCCACCACACTTTCCATGACACAAGAGGAAGTCAGCTGAGCCAGGCTGGGTTTTCCATGCAGCCCAACAGGGTGGAGGCCCAAGGGGGGGGAGGGGTCAGCGCGCCCCCTGGGCCAGTGATGTCAGAACCTCTGTGGCCTCTGCCAGGAGACACAGACACCTGCCACGGCGGCTCTGGCCACATCAGGTAACCACGGGAGGAAAGCGAGCTTCTGGACTCTCAGGGGGGGGAGTCCCAAGAGACATCACCAGAGCCCAGGGTCACTGGGGATGGGGAGAGGGGGAGGGGCCGCAGGAGGGGAGGGAGGAGGGTGCTTAGAAGGAATGTGGGTGTTTGTTGAGTGGATCTGTGGGATGGTTCCCGCAGATGGCAGGGTGCTCTGGTGGCCGGAGGAGGCAGTGCTTAGACAGTACTTGTTTGCTGAATGACCAAGTGACTGGAAATCCCTGAAACCCTGTCTCTGCTTGAGGGTCTCTGAGTGTGGATGGGGGAGGGGGAGGAGGGAAAACAGCTGGTGGGCTGTGTGGGGGAAGGGCCCTGGGCCTGCCACCCCTGCATTTGAGTTGACCGAGGGCCAGTGCTGTGTGGTCTGGGGTCTCAGCTGGCTCATCTGTGAAATGGGGTGTGTGTGTGGGAGAATGCAGGTCTCCAAGTAGCAGCGTTATTCCAGAACCCTGGCTTCTGACAGGGGTGGAGGGTGGCAGGCTGGGGGTGGCTGGGGTGGGGAATAGCTGTGTGAGAAGTGGGGGTTTGGTCTAGTGTGTATCAGAGGTGCGGGGGTCGTCTGTGGGGAGAGCTGAGAATAGAGGCTCCCAGTGGTGTGGACAGGGCTCTGTGAGGTTGCTCACTGTGAGGTGTGCACTGTTCCTGAGCTGCGGGCAGGAAGGAGATCGTGAGACGTGTGTGTGTGTGTGTGTGTCTGTGTGTCTGTGTGTGTTTGTGTGTCTGTGTGGTGGGGCGGGCAGGGGGGAGGCTTTCACACTGCCTCCTTTCAGACAATACCAGTCCCACCCATCTGTGGGGACCCTATGTACCTCAATTCCTCACTGCGGAGCCGGGGAGACTTGGAGATGGATCCCTATGGCAGCCCAGCCCCATTCCACACCTTCACTGTTGGCTTCCAGTGGTTGGTTTCAGGGCCCGGAGGATAGGATATAGGGGATCTGTCTAGAGGCTGGCTTTATTCTGAGGTGGGTCATTTCCCCTTTCTGAAACTCACCATCTTCCTGCATCTTGGGGCTTCTAGAAGTTTCCATGATAATGATGTGAGTGCTTATAAACTCTTGTGCACCCCCAGTAGGAGAGTGAGCCAGCTTAGGCCTGTTCCAGCATTTTCCACAGAGGCCCTGGGTGTGGGGATCCTTGAACCGGCCAGCTAGCCCTCTGCACACTCTCTCTAGTGGTTCATAGTCCTGTATTCAGTCCTTATTATCTGACAGTGTGTTGTTTATTCTTTTTGTGTGTGTGATTAAACATAACTTCGTGATAACGATCTTTGTGCAGTCATCTTGGGCTGGGAAGTTGACTTAGTTGCATGCATGAGGCCCTGGATTTGATTCCTCAGCACTGTGTAAGCAGTAAAAGCCAGAAGTGGTGCTGTAGTTCAAGTCGTAGAGTGCTAGGGCCAGCCTTGAGCTGAAGAGCTGAAGGACAGCGCCCAGGCCCAGAGTTCAGGCTACACAACCAACAAAAACAAAAACAAAACAAAACAAAAAAAACCCCTTTGTTCTAGCCAGGCTTGTGCCTGTAATCTTAGCTATTCAAGAGGCTGAGATCTGAGGATCATAGTTCAGAGCCAGCCTGGGCAGGAAGGTCCATGAGTCTCTTATCTTCAATCAACTACCAAAAAGCTGAAGGTAGAGCTGTGGCTCATGTGGTAGAAGGCTAACCTTCAGCAAACAAGCTCAAGGACAGCACCCAGGCCATGAGTTCAAGCCCCAGGATGGGCACAAGGAAAAAAAAAAGCTTTTGTTTCCTACAAATATAACTATTTGGATTATGACAACTTATAATGAAACCTGTTATTTTGTGTAATGAATATACTAACAAAAAATAGCTTAATAGGGGCTGGGAAGGTGGCTCAGTGGTAGATGCTTGCCTTGCATGCCTGAGGCCCTGGGTTCAATTCCTCAGCACCACGTAAGCAGAAAAAGCCGGAAGTAGCGCTATGGCTCAAGTGGCAGAGCTCTAGCCTTGAGCTGAAGAGCTCAGAGACAGTACCCAGGCCCATAGTTCAAGGCCCACAACTGACAAAATAAAATAAATAAATAAATAGATAGATAAAATAGCTTAAAAGACAATGTTATGACAGCTTTAAATACTGAAAGCCATTAGTAAGAATTGGATTAGGATAGGTGTCCTGTAATCTTTGCATCCTGGAGGCTGAGGCTGGGAGGTCTGTGAGTTGGAACCCAGCTAGGGCTACAAAGCCACGCTCTACTATATTTGATGTCAGTATAACTTGAGGAGGAGATGGGGAAAAACCAGTTGTTTAAAGATACAGGTGGACCTGTTGCAACAATGAGAAGTACAAGTTGTCATGTCCAAAA